AAATAAGCAGGAGGAACCACTGAGCGCAGGGGGGGGGGACAGGTCGGCACAGACTGGAGGACGATCTCTCTGGATCAGAGAAGACTTCAGGGGCAGTGATTATGATTTTTTTTTTTTTTAAACGAGGACCCTCTATTGTTGGAAATGTAATTTCGGCAATCACCACTTTAAATAATGTTGGATGCCATAAACATTGCAAGGATCCCGGGCATGCTAGAGCGTGTGCCTTTTTGGATCTGCTGAACAATAAACAGTGATCTTTAATGTGCAGATTTATTGGGTGGCAATAGGAGGAGCTCACTTTACACCCCAGGCATTTACATTTAAAGGGACTTTCCACACGCACACAACCTTGCAGGATGTAATCTGGATTCCTGCACATTCTGCTACATCCATTGTTTTTTTTTTTTTTTTTTTCCCTGGCTGTTGTCGTTAAAGAAAGAACGCCAGGATTTGGAAAGTTAACCCTTGTAGTTGGATTACCTCTGCACTGCAAGGGTTAACTGCTTGTTTTTCTCTAGGGGTGAAAATAAAGAAGATGCACTCCCCTGATCCTCAGTCCTGCGGCAGTGACCGCTCACCTCTCCCCCTCTCTGCTGCGGTATGTCCCTCGGCATCTTATAGATTTGTATAGACATGATGACATCAAGTGTCCTTAAGGCCCAGTGGCGAAGAGGCTGTGGGGACTGGTCTAGCAGTCAGGCAGGACCGAGGATCGGATGAGTACATCTTCTTTATTTTCACTCCCTAGCCAAAAAAGGAGTAATTAACCCTTTCAGTGTGGGGTAGCCCCCACTGCAGGGGTTAACATTGCAAAATCCTGGAGTTCTGCTTTAATGCCAATTGAACCTCACACCTTATTACTTCCTGCATCCCCTCCCCCGTGTGACACGTTTGCCTTAAAATGCCTTAAAGAGACCCTGTCACCAGGCAAAAGCACAGCATAATCCGTATTTTAAAGGCTGACTTGCAGTGTTTTCCTTTCCAAGATAATAAAATGTTTTTCACTTGCAATGTACCTCTGAACTTGCTTGAAAACTTGACTATCCCAGCAAGAACCAATTCCCTAGCAGAGGCCCCCTCCCCGTCCTTGCAAGTCATAGCCCTCTCCTCTTCTGGATGTCTTATTTCTGCTGATGCTGGCCCAGCTACTTCACCCATCTCCTTTACTCCCTACATAACCTTCTATGTAGCTGTCGGGTGAAGAGCAAAGGGGAATATTAAAGGGTCTCACTGGAGGTTGAGGCTGCTGATATCACCTCCAATATGGTGGTGCCTAGCAGCAGTCTCCCCCCTTTTGGATGTGTACACCAGGGAGGATTTTCCAGGTAAATACCATACATAAAATATTAATATGCACATATAATCTTATGGGAAGGTTCTCGTAGTGAATGGTCTGGAGACAGGGTCTCCTTAGAATCCCTCTTTATCTTTCAGTGAAAATGCCACTTCCTGCTCTGTCCTTACAGAGCTGAGTAACGGCCACACCCCTCATCAGTCAATCTGCTTCTATAGAATATGGGATCAGACCTCTGGAATCTCAAAATGACAAATCGTGATTAAATCAACAAGCCAAACTGTGGAATAAACCTTTATAAATAACCCGCAGTGCAGGTTTTCCTTAGAATCTCTTTATCTTTCAGTGAAAATGCCACTTCCTGCTCTTCCCCTCCAGTGCTCTGTCCTGGCAGAGCTGAGTAACAGCCACACCCCTCATTGGTCAATCTTCTATAGAATATGGGGTGAAAAAACCTCTGGAATCTCAAAGTGACAAATTGTGTGGTTAAAGCAACAAACCAAACTGGACTAATCCTTTATAAATAACTCACAGTGAAGGTTCTCCTTAGAATCTCTTTATCTTCCAGTAAAAAAAAAAAAAGCTGCTTCCGGCTCTCCCCCTCCAGTGCTCTGTCCTTACAGAGCTGAGTAACAGCCACACCCCTCATCAGCCGATCTGCTTCTATAGAAAATGGAATCAGACCTCTGGAATCTTAAAGTGACAAATCGTGATTAAAGCAACGAACCAAACTGTGGAATAAACCTTTATAAGTAACTCGCAGTGGAAGGTAGCACACGGCCCACACATGTAGATAGATGATCCTCAATCACACAGAATAGAGGAAACTCTCCTCACATCAGAGGAGTTTTTTTTTTTTTTTTCTGGTTCAGACCTGTGTGTCGGGAAGATTGGACACACTCGAAATCTCTGGACAGCACAAGAGATCACTGAACGTTTTCTAGAACGTTGGGTTATGTTTTGCAGCCATTTTAGATACAAATGATTATTTTAGTATCATTTATCTTGTGTTTGTTTTGTAATAAAGTTATTACAGTTCATCTTTAGTTGTGTCGCCTCTTTGTCATCTATGTGGCCGTTTCGTAACCTGTATATGTCCTTCTCCAGCTACCGAGAGGAAAACAATTCACATGTCGTTATTAGCGAGTCAGCAAGCCAATAGGATTTCAGCTGTCGGTGTTCCGCTGTAGGCGGAGCTTACAAAATATTAGCAGAGATTTGCCGGCCGAGCAAGGAAACGGAGGATCCTCTGTGATCACCGAGTAGCTTTAGGGCTGGTGCAGACCTGGGCAATCCGGGACCGCGTGATCGTGTGCAGTTGCACACTGCGGTTGCCGCGTGGCCTCATTGATTTCAATGGGGTTACGTCTGCGCGGCAACCGCAGAAAAAAAGGCACATGCAACTAGGATGCCTTCCTAAAATAATGGCACTGGCAGGGCAGTGGTGGGAGATTCCGTGACCGCGCTGTTTCGTGCACGATTGCCGCGCGGTTACTGATTTGCCATGGTGTGAACCTGGCCTCAATGTTAACAGTGTATGAAACATGTTAGCACGGCAGCTTTGTGCAATGATAAAGAGCCTGCTTGGCTCCCAGCAGCTCCCAGCCTGATTTCCGCTATGCAGAGGATGAGGAAAGATTCCAACGTTTGTATGAACTACACGAGGTATTCTAAAGAGAAAATCGCTGGAGGAATCGGAAGGAGTCAGGAGGGGATAGAACCCCAAGTCAGGTTTTTATTGGGGTGATTCGCTCTCTCTGCTTGTCCCAGTGACCACTGTAATTATGTCTGAAGGTGAAGGGAAATCCAAAATGTTTAAGTTGTCACCAGAACAGGAATAGAAGGGAAAACTTCCACTGGGAACACCTGTCTTTAGGGCCCAGTCACACCATCAAGAGTGCTTTCCAGTTCGGCCTCTGGAACACAACCCGGCCATCTCACTTTGTTTTGGGGCGTGGCGCATTGAACTCAATGGCACCGCAGCTACGCCCCCCCACGGTGCGATTTCCGGCACCCGAACGCGTGGCATATTAGTGCCTGCGTTCAGGTCGAGTGCGATCTGCAAAAAATGCTGCACGCACTATTTTTTGCAGATCGCACTGGACCGGAACGCCAGAGGCACTAATGTGCTACGCGGTCAGGTGCCGGAAATCG